CGCCTGAAGCCGAGTGTCTCTGCCAGGCTCCGGTTGCAGGGAGGAGCCCTGGCTGGCCACGTGTGGCTGCGCCAAACGCTGCAGTGTTGCTCTAAACGACACGGCAGCATGGGGAGAAAGGAAAACAATGGTGGCGGAAGGTCTCCCAATACGAAGTGCCCCACCAATGCCGAGGTCAACATCCAAGCCGTCCTAGCCGTTTTTACGGCCTAGCCGTTTTTTCGCGAGTAAAAAAAAAATAAGCCCCAGCCTTATTTTGTGAGAAACACAGTAGTAAACAAATAAGCCATGTAAGTTGGACTCCAGATACAGACTTATTATTGTCATATTCATGACACAATATTATGTATTTGTTATTTCTCCAACATGGACTTTGCTTTTCCATCACTGCTACTATCAGCTATCATGTCTACCCCCTTAAGTACTTTAAGCTTTGTTGAAGGCCTACTCTTTCTGAAACACCCTGTCTCTTGGAAATCCTTCCTCAATTTATTGTCCTTTACATATAATTGGATCTCATCTGCCATAACCTCCAGACAACACTGTCAAAGGAATTTGAAGTCCTGTAATTTTGGAGGACATCAAGTTAGAAAAGCTGTACCAGCTTTAAAATAATAAGCATTAGATTACTTTTCATTTGAATTCTAATTAGAATTGGGTACATCAACATTTGCTTTCTGGTTTAATGGGGTATAATTCTCTAAGTCAGTGGCCCCCAACCTTTTTTGTGCCACGGCCCGGTACCGGCATCACAAAATGATCCGCGGCCCGGTACTGGCATCAGCACGCATGACAAGGCAAGGCGAGCCAAGCGACCGGCCAGCCAGCCGTCCCCCGCTTCTCCCCACTACCTTCAACTCCTCCTTTGTACCTTTGTCGATGGGCTTCACTTCGGGATGGCTTTGGGACGGTCGCTCGGCTCGCCTTGCCTTGGGTGCTAAAGAATCCTTGCACCTTAATTTCATTCGAAGCCCCCCGCCTTCGATGAAACTAAGGCGCGAGGATTCCTTCAGGACCCAAACGCCGCTTTCCAACCGGAAAAGCTCACCCGGAAGCACTTTCTCGTCAAACAAGATGGCGGCGCCCAACAAACTGGCGGCCCAGTAGGAAATGTTCCACGGACCAGTACCGGTCCGCGGCCCAGTGGTTGGGGACCCCTGCTCTAAGTGGATGTTGCAAACATTATTTGTTCATTGTCAGTTGCATCTATAGATGACAGGAAGTTCTGGATCTTTGAGTCTCTCCACAACCACACAGAAATCTTCTCTAGAGCATCATTCAACTCAATAATGAAAAGGAACAGAGATGTTGCACTTAGAAAGAGCAATGGATCTATTTCTATTTGGTTTATTCCAAAAAACAAATCCTCAATATCAGATTGAAATTCAACAGCAATATTGGGGGGAGGGCCACACATGTGGGGGGCAGGGCACACACATGTGGGGGTGAGGTACACACATGTGGGGGCGGGGCACACACGGGGAGGTTGTTGAGGTAATTCCCCATTAGGAGAAAGAGCGCACACAGGGAGACGTAGTGAGAGTGATGAAGAATAACACACAACCAGCACACAGATACACTGTATAGTAAAATGTAGGTTTTTACTTCCAGTAAAACCGTTAAGCAAAGTTCAACAAACAGTCCAAGTCATTCACGGTTAAAGCAGTCAGTTTTCAGTCCAGGGATAATCCAAAAACAAAGTGCAGTATCATAAACAGTTCAGTAACAGACTTACATCAAATCCAAGAATAACAATGATCAGTAACAGTCAATAGGAAAAAATGCAGGAACGGCAACACTCTCAGCAACAGAACAACCCAGGTTTCTGGCTCCATCTTATGGCCGTTTGAGGAACCACACTCAATTACAATTTTAGCATTCCTTTAAAGAGACAGTATTAAAATGTCTATCCTGGTTTATATATTTTCCAACCCAACTGTTAGGTGACTTACATTCCCAACAGAGGTCATGCGTGCATGTGTGGGGGCGGGCGTACATGGAGGTCACACATGCGCAGGGGCACACATGTGGGGGCACATACGCATGGGGTGCACGTTGCATTTTGGGGGTGTTCGGGTGTGCGCTTTGGTGACAAAAAGGTTAGCCATCACTGCTCTAGCTTTTCTGGAAGATTCTTCAATGTATCTTGAAGTTACCATATGTGAATTGGGTGGGCATATTACATGTATTTAATAAATAAAAAAGATAAAGGGTTTTTTTTTTCTTTGTCAGTCTGGACACGGTCCTCATCTCTGTTTCTCAGCCAAGGGGGCCAGACAAGTTCAATAAATAAATAAATAATATATACATCTCTGGATCTTTTTTTGTGAGTTGATGGGCACACATCCATACAAAACATTAGACTGCAGCCTCTTATAACTCCGGTTCTCTAGGAATATCTCTGAAGTATATGCAAACTCAAAAGAATTCTAGAAAATGGTGTGCCTGTCATTAAACCTCTGCTGTGCAACTGGATAAGTCGCATTTTTATGTTTTTAATTACAATAATCTAAAAATAATGAAATGAAAGCATGTGAAGCATGTAGTCTAATGATTTCCAAAGTGGGTATCCCTGAATGTCATGTTTTATTTATTTATTTATTTGATTTGTCAATCACTTACAAGATAATCGGTATAAGTATAAACATAGTTTTGAATACATGAGATGGATATGAATAAGAAAAATAAAAAGAAACGTTTATGCATCCCCCCGCCCCCCACAGGCCTCTTAGGAAAGGGGCGAGGTCAATAGTTGACAGTCTAAAGTTAAAGTTTTTGGGGTTTGGGGAAGAAACCAGAGAGTCAGGTAGAGACTATGATCTTGGGAGGCCCAGGTAATAGTAATCACCTGGGATTGCCCTTTGACATGTCTAGGCTATCTCCATTTCGGCTACTTCAAGTCCCTTCTCAAAATGCACCTTTTTTATATGGCACTTGGCTTTTATATGGCACTTGGTTAGCAATTCACAATATTTTCTGGTGTCATCCAACCATCACTCTCCCAGAGGAATAGCATTGTGGTCACACTTCAAAGATGGCTGGATGATGCTATGAAGACATTATTAGTTGCTAGCGTGGAATGACTGCACCTCAGTTGCAACCAACTACGTTGTAGAACGTAGTTCTTCTACTTCTCCCTCAATGTCCTTTTTGTCTGCTTTTAGATTTTAAACTTCATAGAAGCACAGACCCAATTATGCAGGCAGCCAAGTATACAAGATGATACAAGATTCTCAATCATCCAGGTCATGGTGGTCCCAAAGGTGCTTTTTCAGGAGGCAACTGGACTTTTTCTTTGAAGACGTTTCACTTCTCATCCAAGAAGCTTCTTCAGCTCCGACAGGATAGTGGGGAATGGAAGGATTTATATTCCTTGCAGACAGCTGGTCATTTGCATTCTTTTAGAGAAGGGCTGTCAAAATCCCAGTCCACGGGCCAGATGAACCATGTGCTGGCTATGCCCAGTTTAGGGGGGGAAAGTCCTGATATGTCACATGATGCCTCCATGACAAGTTTGACACCCCTGTTTTAGAGAGTCATTGAAGCACTTGGAGGTTTATCTGTGTCCTCAGGGTCACGTTGAGAAGTGCTCCTGGTTCCTGTACTCTGCTGTTTTTCCTCTGGAAATTCATTCCTACTCCCACACTATTCAAAGGGTGTTCATACCAAACTGTATAGCTAAAAGTCTGACTCATCCCCAACAGCCCGTGCCTATATTCAACAATGAAGGGACACAGGGCAGAAAACATTGTGCAAAAAACACAGCTCCACAACACAGTCCTTTCAGCAGGTCCAAGAAGGCTCCGTACCCATTTGCACTAGTCAAGTAATGCTGAGGACACAGATAAACCTCCAAGTGGCCTCAACAACTGTCTAAAAGGATGCAAATGACCAGCTGTCTGCAAGGAATATAAATCCTTCCATCCTATTATCCTGTCACAGCTGAAAAGGCTTCTTGGGTGAGAAGTGAAATGTCTTCCAAGAAAAAAACAAGAAAATCCATTTGCCTCCTGAAAAAGAACCTTTGGGACTATATAGGATGGTAGAAAAGCAAAAACCCATGATCCATAGGCAAACACCTTACATAAACTGCTGGTGATGTATGAAATATAGAACACCTGAAGCAGATCTCCAGGGCAGGTTCACAATGTGCTCAATCATTTGAGTTCTAAAAAAAATGATCCAAAGCTCCGAAGCTGGCAAATATTAATGTTTGAAATACTAAATTAGTTTAACTAGGCTACTGAACTAATGCTTTCTCGTCCACACTGAACCACTAACTAACTCAAGCAGAACCCGCTAAGCAACATTATTAAAATTAAAATACCAAATGAAAGCCAAGCACCAAGGTTTAAATTATTCTATGAACTCTATGAATTAACAGAGCTTGCATATTATGGAAATACAACAACCGGTGGGACTTTAACTGGGTGTACGATGTGTAAACAGTACTACCTAAATCGTAGGTGCATTCACACATTCAATGAGAGAAAAGCTGTAAAAAAGAAACTTGAAAATATAACAATTTGGGTCCGCTTTCTGGCATCGCATCTCCTTTGGGGACATCTAACTAAACTACGGCTTGGGCTTTCTCTCAATATTTCCTCACACCTTCCTTTTTTTCTTTTTTAAGCAAGAAGGTTAATACAAACTAGACAACGGGCTTGATAAAAAGGAGACAAACCTTAAGGAGCAAAAAGCAAGGGAAAAGTGAAGGAAATCTGCAGTAATCCATGTATGTAACTTATACTGGATCAGTCCAGGATAACCACAAACCAAAACTCCCATTACTGACTGGAAGAGGGAGAGGGAGGGAGGCGTGAAGAGCAACGACTTTCGACCAAAGAAACGTGCAGGCAAGATTAAAAAATCCGCTTCTATTTTTTTCAGAAAGGGCACCACCACCACCCCTTCCCAACTTGGCTGTGGGTCCCCTAATCTATAAGGGAGCCATTCGTTCTTAAGAGGCGCCGGGCCCTTCCCAGGTCTGGCTTACTCACCGACGATTGGCGAAGGCATTGCCCGCCGGTCCGCCGGAGCTCTGCTCGGGATAATTGTGTTGCAGAGTCGATGCCGGGAACTGATAGAGAAATCCGGTCCCGAAGGCACATCCCCAAAGGCAGCAGGAGCACCAAAAGAAAAGCGGATACATCTTGTGGGGTGGGGGGAACAAAACCTGGAGAGCCGCTTCGGAGTGCAACGAGCAGGACGCGGAGGAGACGCGGGAAGGACCCCAAGGAGAGACTTAGAGACACATCCTCCCAGAGGGCTCCGGCGTCGGGGGCTAAGGCCAAATGCAGGGGGAGGGGGAGAAAAGGGGGGGACGGACTAATGCTGGATTATTTGGGGGGGGGGGGGAAGGAGCTGAAGAAAAGCTGGGGTTTAAAGGCACCCCGCCTTTAAAGGAGAGCTGCGTGCGCTGTAGGCGCACAAGTGCTTTGAGGGTGCTTTTTCAAACCGTAGTGAGGTTGGTTCAGCAGCATTCTACAAAAGGGGGCGGGAGGTGGGTGGGGGGCGCCGGTTTAACCCTTTCAGGAACGAGGCTGCGGCGGCGGCTGCAGATGTCACTGTTCCCATAGAAGAGAGTATTATGTGCCATTCAGGGTTGAACTGTGGAGTCCTTGGTGCTCTCTGTGCTTGAGCTGTTTGCCTGCAGACGTTTCATTACCCGACTGGAGTAAAAGCTTTGTGGTAAGGTAATAAAACGTTTTAAGGTAATAAAACGTCTGCCAAGCAAACGACCAGGCTTACAGAGCACCAAGGATTCCACAGGTGTAGCTGTCTTGAAATGCACAGTAAGCAGGAAGGCTGCACACCCGGAGTGGAAAAGCAAAAGGGAGATGGCAAGCAGGTAAATTTGGATAACAAATCCCCCCTAACAGACACTTCTCAATTCATATTCGATGTGAAGAGGCTGGGCTATGGCCCATGGGGGCAGAGCTATACACACACATTTAAATTCTGATCACATATTTACCTTGGATAGGTACTAGTAACTTAGTGTTACACTATAGGTGGTCCTGAACTTACAATCATTTGTTTAGCCATCATTCGAAGTTACAATGGCACTGAAAAAGATGACTTACGACCAGTTGTCATTTTTACGACCATTACGACTACATAATTCACTTAACTGTGGTGATTCGCTTAACAACTGTTGCAAAAAATGAAAAGGTGACTTACTTCCGCTTGTCATACTTATGACAGTTATGATCACATAATTCACTTAATTGCAGTGAGTCATTTAACAACCATTGCAAAAAACAATTCTAAAATCGAGTGCAAATGCCTTACCTAGCAATGGAAATTCTCTTCCCAATTGTGGTCTTCAAAAAGTGGGCTCCAAACTGGGCCTTCAGATCTTCCAATAGTGTATTCAGTTCCACTGTATTAGGGTCCATCCATCTTGCTGCTAGTCATCCTCTCCTCCTCCTTTGTGCTGTTCCAGCCAGTCTATGGGAATTGGATAGTTACTTAGGAATTATGAGCTGTCCCCTTAAGGGAATGCATCATGGTAAATGTAGTTAAAGATATCCTGGGAAATGTAGTTCATGTCACGTGGCCACATGTGTAATCCCGATTGGTCACTAATTTGACCCTCGCTGGGTTGGGGGAGTTTCCCTCACTTTTGCCTGAACTCCCTAACTCATGGGAGCTGCTTTCTATCGCTACGAGATGGGTTAGGAGATAACCATCTTTTACTACAAGGCAGATATACAGTACAAAGGATTGGTCATTAAAGAAGAACTTCATCACAAATGTGAGTTATGAGGATACCTGATGAACCAATAAATATACTTTGTTATGGACGTCTTGTTGAGTTATCTATCTGCATCTGTACAGCTTATAAATCCACTACTGTACGGGATACAGAAAAGTAAAAGATGGTTATCTCCTAACCCATCTCGTAGCGATAGAAAGCAGCTCCCATGAATTAGGGAGTTCAGGCAAAAGTGAGGGAAACTCCCCCAACCCAGCTAGGGTCAAATTAGTGACCAATCGGGATTACACATGTGGCCACGTGACATGAACTACATTTCCCAGGATATCTTTAACTACATTTACCCCCTTAAGGGGACCGCTCATAATTCCTAAGTAACTATCCAATTCCCATAGACTGGCTGGGACAGCACACCCTTTCCAACTTTCCATCTGGGTGATGGCATGCGAGCACAAGCGCACACACAATTTTTGGCACAGGAGCCCAAAAAAGTTGGCCACCACTGTTCTAGGATCTACTGTATATATTCATTTTCTAGACTGTCTATGGTAATCTCAGGAGTCTTCTGCCACAGAGTATCTTAAGGAAAGCCATTACCTGCATTGATTCTGAACTTTGTAGGTGTCACACATCACAGCATTTAAAAATATTTCAAAGGTCTTCATTGCTATTCTACCAAGAGCTAATTGGTGGCAACTTTCTTGATTCCTGGTTCCTTTACTGATGGTGTTTCTGAAGATTTGGATAGACACGTGACAATTAATAGGCCCAGCATGGATTTGTTGCAGACAATACAGAATGGGATAACCCACCATCATAACCTCAGCTCCTTCCTTGATAAAGTTTGTAGTTTAGTAGATCAAAGGAATCATCTAGACATAGCGCATTAACATTTTTATTGAATGCCTCATGACATTCTCCTTTCATAAAATGATAAAATATGGGCTAAATGAGACTGTTAGATGAACTCACAGCTGGCTGAATAACCATACCACAAAAATGCTTCATAATGGCTCCAGCTTGGAGAGAAGTTTGAGGGGAATGTCATAGGACTCTTTCCTCGGCTCTGTGGTGTTCAATGTTTTTAGCCATGACTTGGATGAAGTTACTAAGGGGATCAAATCTGCGAATGACACAAAGCTGTCATTAGCTGTGGCTAATGCCTTAGATAAAAGAGGGAAGATTCAAAAATATCTAAACAGATTTGAGCACTGGATTGAAATAAAGATTATGGAATGTAATGGGGAAAACATAATGTTAATCATCTGAGAAAGAAAAATGAGGGGGACTAGTATTGACAGTAATATGTATGAAGAGAATTTTGTGTGTGTGCTTGTGTGTGTGTGTGTGTGTGTGTGTGTGTGTGTGTGTGTAGTCTTTAAGTAAATGTTGGCTCCTGGTGACTGCCTGGACAAGTTCGTGCAGGTTTTTCTGGCAAGATTTCAGAGTGGTTTGCCACTGTTTGCTTTCTAGGGCTAAGAGAGAATGACTGGTCTGAGGTTACTCAGCTGCCTTTGTGGTTAAAGTGGGGGTAGAGCTCATCGTTTCCCAGTTTATACCATGGTACCTTACTGGCTCTTGTCTTTGTTGACCACAAGTTAAATATAAAATATGAGACACCCTTTTTTTTTATAAAAGAATTTTTTATTTTTTAACAAAATATACAAACACAAACATGAATACAAAACATAAAACCATCTTTCCATTGTACAGTGTGTCGGTTGGTACATATCTCTTGTGCACAATATTAACAGTCTTTCCCTCCTAATCTTAACTTGCAATTCATATTATATAGATCAACTATCAATATCATATTGTATTATTATCAAACCATTATTAGACTTTGATTATAAATTCATATCATTCTTTTTGAGCAATTTTCAGCTTTTACAATGTCTAGTTCATAATATCATTCATCTCACCATCATCCATCATATAGAGAGCATAGCATCTTATACGAAGGCAGCAATCTTGTTTTCTTAACCTGCCTTAGAATTTAGTATGTTCTGTCTATTCAGCTGATACAAATATAAGAGCTATAACTCAGGGGGGGGGGATATCCTGGGTTCATAAGAGTATTGTAAAAAGAGTTCATTGTTCATTACCAATAGTTGCTTCAAGCATCATAAATTACCAGGAGACTTTGGAGTAAATTTAAATACATAATACAAAACAGAAGATACTGCATTCTAGTCAGCCAAAACATTTCTAGGTGCAAGATTTGGAATATACTATGAATTATTGTTTCATATGTAAAGGATAAGATTAGAGAATTAAACAGAGTAGATTTGCCAGGAAGATTACATCTGGAGGATATACCCAGATTCTTGGGAGCTGAGTGGTACAGGAAGGGAAGGGGAAGGGAAGGGGAAGCAATGGGAGAGATTCAGTACTGATTCATGAAAGAATCTAAAGCACAGTGGGAAGAATTAAGCACTGTGAAAAAGTAGAGAAAAGTTCTCAAAATTTCAAGAAAAGCTCATATGATGAAGGATGAAAGGCTTGGCCAAAAAGAACATAAAATGACTCAATCAAGGAAAGAAAAAGGCAGGGAAAGTATCTCAGGAAAGTCAACAAATAATAGAAAATAACAAGAAAAGGAAAATAAATTATGTTCCTATATCTGTTTAATGCATCCAATTAACATAATACAGGTAGTCCTCATTTAGTGTGTCAGAAAAGCTGAAGTAAGCACAGTTTTGTTTCACCTAGATCAATAAATTGAGAAGCATGCATGCCATTACTTTAATAAATTAGCAAAGACTTAGTATGAAAATAACAAATCTTTGTTAATGTTAAAAATTAAGAAGACCACAAAGGGAATGTCAACCTGCAGGCTTAGTTCATTCCCAGTTAATGGGAATGATATTAAGGTGTAAATAGTTTTGTTTTCTTAGAGTCAGAAAACAGTTTTCTTATATAAGAATAGATAAAGATGGAGAAGCAAAGAGATCAATCCATGGAAGAATGCAATTACAAACTTGGGTAAGATCATGTCACAAGGACAGAATTGTAAAAGAAAATGTTTTTCTCGGTGATAATAGGCAACTGGATGAAAGCTGGATATTGAAAACATACAAGAGAAAGAAAATGAAAGCTTCTGAATTATAGATTTAAAGTTGGTTATATACTGAAGTATCATGGACTAGAAGAAGAACTAGCTAATTGTGTGATTGTTCAAAGTGGGTGGTGGACTTTAATATATTTTGTCAAATTGGGGAAATATAAAAAAGGGAAGACAGCAGAAAAAAACTGATGAATGGGATAAGGGAAACCAATGAAGTATCTTAGGAGATTTACAGATTAAATCTGAGCCAGGCTGAGATGTTAGGTATTGGTCAATACCAGAGGTTTTCAAACCTCAGGCTATGAAAACTGTTAATTTAAAAATATCTCATAAATCTTGATCAGGAGGCAAAGTTCTAGTAATA